TTCTTGGTTCATAAGTAATGTTACGAAGTTTACTAACCATTCAAGCGGAACGCTTGGGTTAGGTGAACCGTGAAGAAGATTTAACATAAACAATATAAACTAAACAATTCATTCAAGAACCAAAATGTGTCTAGTGTCTGGGGAAATTGTATAAAAACGCGTAGAAGACGAGATATGTGTGTATGTGTATGTGTATGTGAATATAGATAGAGATATAGATTTGGATAAGGATATGGATAATTAGAGAAAGACGAAAAAAAGAGAGAAGAACGAGAAGATAGTTGGTTGAAGACGATGAGTACAATGAGCAGTTTAATAGAAGTTACTGGTCGTTTATAAGTTGGACAATACTTGAGTGTTGGCAACTAATACTACTTGTTTTAGCTATATTGTAACAATTATTTTGTAATTATTTTAATTTTAAATAAACAATTAACGTTGTTATTGCGTAATATATTACACAATAACAATATATATATATATATATATATATATATATATATATATATATATATATATATAATATTTATATATATATAGGTATATAGATATATATTATATACACATACATAGGTGGGTATATATACATATATATGTGTGTGTGTGTGAGTGCGTGTATATATATATATATATATATATATATATATATATATATATATATATATATATATATATATATTACTTTTTAACAATCTTCTTTCTTGAAAGCTCGTTTTTAATAATCAATATTTAATATTTTTTAGAGCTTTTAAACTCGACGTACAAATTTGTTTGTTTTTTCCTTGATTACAAATATTATATAACAAAAACATTTAAACAGTATAGATATTAAACTTAAAATGTGTAAAATAAACTTATATTAAGCAAAATCAATGTCTTTTTTAAAAAAAAATAAAAAAATTCTCATATAAACAACTCGTCGCATGAGAATTATAGGGTTCTGTCTGCCTTGTTTTATGTTGAAAGAATTTAACAATCAAAGTTTTAATTAATAATAAAAATGAACCACTTAAAAAATGATATATTATATATAATTTTTTAACATTTTTAACAGATAACATAAACAACTTATACTTTATAATTATAATGAATAACAGCTGTAAAACATGTATTAAATAAATATTGAAAATTAAGTTCTCACAACATTAAAAAATGCAGATAGAACCATATAATTCTAAATAGACGAGTTGTTTCTTTCAAGGTTACTATCCTAATTTATGTGTATTTACTTGTTTTCATGCGATTCTGCGCATAAAGTACCATGAAGTAATATTAAATATGCGCGCGCACGAAATTATCGGAACTGTGAAGACGCCTATTAGTAGAAGAATATAGTTTTATTTATGTCATCTATTCAAATACATTAAACTATCAGTTGTATTAAAACTTTTCTTCAAAATATAAATTAATTATTTGTAATTTATTTTATGTGCTTTAGTTTTTTTTAGTAAAAAAAATAAAACTTTAACATTAAGTGATAAAAAGAAAAAAGAAAAAAAAAATCATAAATTGAATTAAAAGAAGAATTATTGAAAGAGGATGATTTGTTGTTTGTTTGTATTTTGTGTACCAGTTTTATTTATTTATCTTATCACATTTATATATATATATATATATATATATATATATATATATATATATATATATATATATATATATATATATATATATATATATATATATATATATATATATATATATATGCAGGGCCTATTCTAGAAACAAAATCTGGGCGGTGGTACCCCTTGTTCCTGCGAACTTTAGCGGAAAATTGGTTTTTTCGCAAAAATAGCAATATATGCTGTAAAAAAATTTAAAAAAAAATAAGGTCATTTAGACGCCCAAATACGGGCGACACTGTCGTAAACGGTCTAGAATAACCCCTGATATGTATATATATATACATATATATATATATATATATATATATATATATATATATATATATATATATATATATATATATATATATATATATATATATATATTTATATATATATATATATATATATATATATATATATATATATATATATATATATATATATATATATATATATATATATATATATATATATATATATATATATTATTGCTGTTAATAAATTTTTTTAATTCAACTTTGTAACATTATCTTTCTACTAATTTATATAACATAAATTGCATAAGTTTAGATAACACAAGTTTATTTAAATGTATAATATAATGTTTGCTTACTTATTATTGGTATTGTTATTAAATTTCGTTTACTATATGTATATAAATTGTTGCTGTTTTTGTTGTTGATGTTGCTGTTAGTGATGTTATAATTACTATTATGTATGTAATTTTTATTTTTTAATTCACTATAAACGCTTTACATATTTTGTTGTGTTTTTTTCTGTTTGTGTGGGAGGATGGGGGTATTAGGGATATGTATTTTTTGTGACCCCATGTTTCTGGATCATAAAATAATAATTATTTGTACAAAAGTAATGAAAAAAACAATTGGATTTTCTTGTTGAAAAAGGTCACTCACAAACTGAAAGTTCTAATTTACTATATATTTATATATATTTATTTTATATATATATATATATATATATATATATATATATATATATATATATATATATATATATATATATATATATATATATATATATATATATATATATATATATATATATATATATATATATATATATATATATTATGATTGTTTTTTTTATAATTCTAGTTTTTTTAAATTGGAGAGTTATCATGTAGTTTTAACACTCTATCATAACACTCTAAATTACAAATAAAAATAAAACCACAAACTTTAATAATTTTACAAGTATGAAAAGCTATTAGTATATATCAAAATAATGTTGTGTACTATTCAGCTTAATTAAAGCATAGTAAACAAATCTTATGCTTTTAGACAAAAAAGTGACCATTTATTTAAAATTAGACAATTTAGTTTTAGATAAAATAAATCTAAACTGGAGATTCTCTTTCTTTTTACATATGTCAAAAAGGTCTTGAAGACAATAGAAATTTTATATTGTTCACCATCCAGCTATTTCAGTAATCACTTCTTTATCATTCTTGAAATTCTTCCTAAGCTGTTAATAGTTCTTTGCAAGTTCGGGGATAAATGGATATTCGATATTGGGCAAAATGTTGTTTCCTCCAAGTTCTTCATCCAATACTATGTGAAGGACTTTGTCAAGAACATTATGTTGACAACCAATAAATTGTGGTTTTTCCAGTTTTTTTTCAGCAAAATGTCTTTGTAACTGGACTGACCATTCCATTTCTTCTTCTAATGTTTACATTTTTAGTGCCTGCTACAATCATCTTTTACTTTACCAGTGTAACAGCTTCTTTAATAGTTGATCTGAATATACCAAAATTTGAAGGTTTCTAAATGATGATCTCTTATCAGATGACTGTTGACAATTGGTTGCTGTTTTGCTGGTTGATAACTTTAAAGATAATACTAATTTGGTTGCAGTTTAGGTTTTGCTGTAGTTCTTGCTGGTACTTGCAGACTGTTATTCTGAATCTTTTGACTCTTGATATTCTGCCTCACACTAAGATTAAAATGTTGGCATTGTTGCTGTTGCCATTACTGTTGTTGAAAAAGGCTTCAAAGAGATTTTTCTTTTTTTGGATGAATGAATAGTTTTTGAACTAGCAACCTGCTTTCAATCTGAAGATGATACAATTTTTTTTCCTCTCTGCAGACTCAATCACCATCTTTTTTTGTGATGTCAAAAACTTTATTTAATGGGTCATATTTTCTTTGTTTTACACATTTATTGTACATCTTCTGCATTTGAACTAGTTTAGCCTGTATGATTTGAATTGATAAATGTGGAAAATTTATTTTCTTTTGCCATAAACTTGTTATTTCGTTCTCAATTTGTTTTATGCGTCCTTTTAATGGATTCTCAGAGGAACAGATAGTGACAAGCAATTTAGATTTTGAGTGGTATCCTGTTGTTATCTTCCAACTATTGTTCTTCTAGTGGAACAGTTCTTTTTCTATGTGACTTAATAAAATTTTACAAGATTCTTTATCTAAATTGTTTTGTTCCTTTTAGTAGTAAAATCTAAATTGTTTTGTTCCTTTCAGTAGTGAAAGCACTTTTTTTATAGGACATTTTGTTTAAAGATAATATTTGAATATATTTCTGAAAGACCATAATGTTAAATATAAGTGCTATTGTATTTCTATATTATTTGACTGTCATCTAGCAAATACAAGTTCATATATAATTATTAGCGTTGCTCATTCAGGCAGCTTATATAGTGTAAATCTTGCGTAAACTTCTGGAAGAAATTTCTAAAAAACAACCAGAACAGTCCAGAAAATTCTAAAAAGCTCCATAAGATTTAAGAAAGTTCTAGGCTTCAGAAAGTCATAATGCTATTGCCTGTAAATACTATTTATATACCAGTTTAAAAATTTTGTGTTCTGGGTGACGGTTTTTAGGAATTAAACTGCATAAAACCCATTTTCATTACTTTGAGAAAAAGTTTATCAGTTTATGACACAAGATATTAATTATTTTATAAAAAGTTAAAAAGTTATATCCCTAGTGTGCATGCATATGTCTGTGTGTACTATGTTTTTAATTATGTCTATGTGTTTACTATATTAATTGCTTTATTTGTGCTACTAATTTTCTATTAGCCTTTCTAGATTTTTCTAATTAAAATTTAATAAAAAATCTCATTAGTATCTCAATGACATCTTGCAAATTAACAATTTTTTTTTCTTCTACTTGTTTTATTCCCAAATATGTTTATGTAGGTATGTATATAATGTTTATGTAAGTATATGATGTTTATGTTGGTATGTATATGTTTATGTAAGTATATGATGTTTATATAGGTATGTATATAATGTTTATGTAAGTATATGATGTTTATGTAGGTATGTATATAATGTTTATGCAAGTATACGATGTTTATGTAGGTATGTATAAACAACTGAAAGTTTAAGAAAATGTTTGTTGTTTTTATAGGTCATACAAAATCAGTACGTGATATTTGCTTCAATAATGATGGTACAAAGTTTATAAGTTGTGGTTATGACAGATGGATTAAGTTATGGGATACTGAGACAGGTATTTATAACAGGCCAAATCTAGTTATAGTTTTTGTCGTTGTTGTTGTTGTTTTTTGTTGTTTTTTGTTTATTCTGAAAAAAAATTTATTTTCCAAATTAGGGAAATTGAAGTTGATTAAAAGCACTATTAATTTTATAAAACTATACTTCAAAGTTTATTTAAGAAAAAAGAAAGTTTAAAGGTTGCATTAAATAGTAAATCAAGGTATTTAAGAAAGCACTGATAACAATCACATAGAAAGTTTAAGAAAACTTTTTTCGTAAATAAACTTTAAAGCACTGTTCAAAAGTAATCACATTGAAAGTTTAAGAAAGTACTGTTTACAATAATCATATAGACATTAGTGGCATTAGCGGAATTGCTTTTGGCAAACTTTTGCATCTATAATAAACCATAAAGTTATTTCTTACTTAAATTATTTATTTATTTTTACAATAAAATAAATTTTACAATACATTTTAAAAATGAAACAGTGTATAACTTGTTTATTCATTTTTAATTTTTTTAGGACTTATATGATTATAAATCACATAATAGTTCTTTTAGAATGTATAGTATGATTGACAGACAAAACACATTGATATTATGCTTTTTTGACATGCTGTGGCAATACTATGTGGCAACACCACATTAGTTAATTTTGAAATATAGAAATAATTAACATTTTTTAAGGCTTCTCAAGAGACATGCGCAGTCACAAGCCTTCTATGACCAGGCATACAACCTTTTTTTTTTTACAACTTGGCTTTCTTACAAAAGTTAAACTAATTTAAAGTGCAAATTAAAAATTAACAAACCATAAATTGAAATGAGAATCAAACTTAAAATAAATAAAGGATAATCTAAAGGAAGTAAAAGCATAAAAATGATATATTTTTAAATTTAGGAGTGTCTCAATTAATAGTTTAAACCTAATGACTTATTTAATTCGATAAATTAAAGTGGATAATTTCTCTTATATCACACGTTAGTGTAGAACTCAGGTTGAAGTATCGTTGTATTTATTAGGCGCGGCTGTTATTTCAATGTTAGATAAGGGTTCAAATCCTATTAACTGATAATTTTTTTTGTTTTTATTTTTTAAGTAGACTTGAGAAAATATAACAGTAGACTTTAGAAAATATAAGTTTCAAATTTTTAAATAATTAAATTTTGAAGTAAATTAAGCTTGGATTAAATAACTTTAAAACTATGATTGAAATTAATAAATTAAAAAAATTCTTTGAAGTGAAAAACGTTTAAGTTACAACAAAAAATATTAATTTTATGTTTTTTTTTTTTCTGATTTATGTTTTATTTTATCATTCATTAAAACTTTTATTTTTTTTTTGTTTAGTTTAGTATTTTTTTTTTAAGTTTTTTATTTCTCTTTTTAGTTTGTAGTGTGTAAGTTTAATTAAAGATTTTTTTCCAACTTTTCTTTCTGGTTATATTATTCTCCTTTCTTTGTAATCAAAGATTTAACATTTGATAACTGCTCATATTTTTAAAACTTCCAAAAAGCTGTGGCCAAGTTGTCAACAAACAAAACTATATGCTTGGTCATATAAAGCATGCGACCACACACATCTCCTAAGAAGGCTTGGTTTTAAACATTAACAGTAATAATTAACATAATTTTGTGAAACAAAAGTAATATTAGTATAGAATAATACATTAATAGTATTATTAAGCAGGTATAAGTAATATAAAAATAATTAATTTTTTTTTAAATTATTTAACATTTTAACTAGAAATTATTGGTGAAAAAAACATTACTAATTTAAATTAACTTATATCATTTTTATAAAATATTTATATATTCCAGTTTTTTTATTTGCTTTCTAAATTTTTTAGATAAAAAAAATGTTTTTAATTTTTCAGGGGAGTGCTTAGGTCGTTATTCTAATAAAAAAATACCATACTGTATAAAGTTTAATCCTGATGAGGTAAGTTTTGTTTTTATTATTTCTTAATTTAATGTTATAAATATTTTAACAAGGATAAAGATATTTAGTTATTTTTCAGATAATGCATGTTAGGGTGTGTTAATTTTTTTTTTTTTTAATTTCAAAAATGCGAAGGTTACTTTTGGTGAAGAATTTTATGGAGATTTCAAATCTGCAAAAAAAAAAAAAAATGTCTTACTGAGTGGGTCAGCATTGTTTTGAACAGAAAAATGACTAAAATGTGACTAATTAACAGGACAAGATTATGATTAAAAAAAATTTTCTTTTAAATTTTCGATCAACTCAATAATTATTATGTTGAATTTTAAGAAAATTCAACATAATAATTATTTAAGAGATTTAAAATAGTGAAAATTTTGCAATACAAATTCGTTTTTCAATACCAAACATAAGGCGATTCTAGAATTATAATATCTCCACGTTTTTAAGTTTTGAGTTGAAAAATTTAAAAAAGAAAGACTTTAGGAGATAGCATATAATTTTTTTTTTAAACTTTCTCTGCAACTTTTTTACTTCTAACTCAGGTTTCAATAAAGTAGAAAAACATTATTCTGAAAAAATACTATTAATAAGTCAATGGAGATTTCTAACATGACGATAAGTCTGCAATACATAACATAATTCATCACATAATTATGTATATGTGCAGTCGTGCGATCGCGCACAATTATATGACCCCCCAAAAAATAATTTGTTTTAATGATTTGACCACAGCTTTTGACATATTTTCAAAATTTAAAAATGCGTTACAAAAACTCACTTAAACTTATTTAAAAAAAAAAAATAAAAAAAAAAAAAATCTTAACAAAAGAGAAAATGAAGAAAAATCTTAAAAAAAGAGAAAATAAAAAAAATACTTAGCTTAAGCAAAAAAATAAACTCATCAAATTAAAATGCTTAGTCTATTTCATTTACACATTAAAAAACCATTTCATTCTTTGTTTTAACATTTGTACTTTGTTTTTTAATATGTTTAAAGATAAACATTTATGATAAAAAAATACATAATTATACAAGTAAAAAAAAAAAAAACAGTTTTTAATACTTATTATATAAGTTCATTAGAAGTGTTTTGTTACTTCATTAAAATGCATTTCGATAATATAAAAGCATTTAAAATCAAACTTATTTAATTGTAACTTTCTAAAACATTTGTCTTTTTTTTTCAACAAAATTTTGTTTATCTTTTCAAATGTATTAACTTAAATTATTCTTATATTAAAATTCAATAAAAAGACTATCGTTGTTGTAGAATGTCATCATTTATAAATACAAAGCAGTTTTTTATTTTATAATAACGTTTATTATTAAAAATGCACACTTAAACAATTTATATATTATAAATTTTAAAAATATATACAACTGTCAATTATACTTTAAAAAAAACCATAATCAGTAAATTGTTACTTTATTAAAAAGTGCTTGTTTTATATTAAAACATTTGTTCAAAGTTTTGATGTAATTTAATTAATTTACTTAAGGTATAATTCAGAATATTTTTCATTCAGCACGTTTTTAAATTTTTTTTGAAATAGCCACGGTCAAATCAAAGCAAAATGTAATTTGCCTGGTCATATAAAGACTTCCTGTGAAAGACCAATATGTGTAATTATGTAAAATTATAATATATATATATATATATATATATATATATATATATATATATATATATATATATATATATATATATATATATATATATATATATATATATATATATATATATATATATATATATATATATATATATATATAATTATAATACATAACATAACATAATTATGATAACCTAATACATAAAATAAGCCTACAATACATAATATGATACATAACATAAATCTACAATACATAACAGTATTAATTTGTATACGGTCATTTTGTAAGATTGACAGCGACAGTACTCATAATTTAAAGGGAGCTTTTCTGTCCAGCTTGAATGAAAAGTATATCATTCATCCTTTGCACAAGCTATCAACACTTATTGCTCCTTCTTACAAATACTTGTCTTTTGTCAATGCAGAAGATCATAATTTTATTTATTCAAAGATGCGTCGTGTGGTAGACAAAATTATTTATTCTTCAACACCTGAGGTGATACACAAAGACTCAGGCAACACAGATATAGACTGTTTTAGTGAATTTAGTCATTCAAATCAACTGCCTCTATTAAAAAAGAGTGTAGCTCACCTGAATTGTATGATTTGCTGGCAAACTTTAAAACAGCTACCACTCCATTCTCTAAAGCTGGAAGTAATGACACAAGACATGAATTTGACAAATACTTGACACTGCCTGTAACAGCATGTGATGCATTGCAATTCTGGAAAGACAATATCTGTGAACATAAAACAATGCTATTGATTGCTAGAACATTGTTGGCTATTCATGCTACAAGTACTGCCAGTGAAAGTTTCTTTTCAGTGCGGAACGCTTAGTTTTTAGTTAGTTAAGGAAAAAACAACTAAAATATGAATAATTAAAGAGAAAAATTTAATACTGATGGAATCCCTTTACTTTAAAAATTTGATAAAAAAAGGAAAAAAACAACACTTCACCATAACATTCTTTGTCTAAAATATGAAAAAAGTGCCTTATTTTTGTAAAAATACCTTTCACAAAAACTCTATTTCTGTATTTATTTTTATGACTTTTTGAACCAAATAATCAATTTTCTTAAAATTCAACATAATAATTATTTTAATTATTATTCTATCATATTAATTATTAATCAAAATATTATCTATCTATTAATTATTAATCAAAAATTTAAAAAAAAAAATTTAAAATTTTATTCTTGATTGTTTTCATATTTAGTGTTGTCAGCCTCAGAGTCAACTTAAACCAGGAGTAAGATGATGAGTTGGATGAGTAGTAGTAGTAGTAGACTCATTAGAAAGTTTTTGTTTTTTAGAGGGATGGATTGTTTCTTTACTGGCCGCTTGGCCTGTAGAGTATCCCACTGTTCTTTTGCTTTCCACTTAAAGATGGTAAAATCACTTGTCCTCGGAAGATAACCGTGTTCTATCCACTTTAGTAATATTTTTAAAATTTGGTAGGTAAAAAATGTTTGTTCCATTATAATCAATGAGAATAGAAGAATTAGAATAGGAATAGAAGAAGTGGATGAATGGTAATCCCCCTTCTCAGGAATGCACTGCAATCACCAATGATGTTTCGAGGAGTCCAAGACCTACACTAAGGCCATTCGTCAGGGGCCAGTCTTTGCAACAGATCTCACCGCCTGCTTTATTTTATGCTTTACTCATTCCTTTATAAAATCAATTATATAAAATCAATTCAAAATAACAACTGCCAAAAAACTAAATACAAAACCAATACTAAAATGTCTTTCAAAAGCTCTTGACAATAAAGTGAGTGGAAAAGCTAAAACGTAAATAGAATAATTATAAAAGGTCAAATAAATAAACTTACAAGCTTGCTATGATTATTTGTAAATGACCTTGCGAACTTTGAAAACACAGTATGTTCAGAAAAAGTCTGTGTGAAACAAATATCATAACAAAGATTTAGTATAAGGTAAGAAAAGGTACATTCAGCATTAGTATTGTTTTTTTATTATACCAGTTGTTAATTCAAAAAAAAAAAGTTTTTTAATTGTTTTTTTTTCTTTATTAGTTTTCATACAATCACTAAAAAGACATTCCATTTAACTAGCATTCTATTTGAAAACATTTTTTTAAATTAAAACAAGTTTTGCATAAGAGATGAGGAAACCACTATGTTTTATTTAATTTTACATACTATTAACAATTTAGATTCAATTCAATATAAGTGACAACAAAATATCTCCCAATAATAAAAGTTATTATGGTAAAAAAAAATGAAGTTCTAGTTTTAAAATTGTTTTTTTTTTTTTTACATTATTTTAAGTATTTTACAGTATTTTTATTTCCACTACACCACTGCTATACAGTAGTGGTGTAGTGGAAAAGAGTTTGCTTCCTTAGCAAAAAGTTCCAAGTTTGATCCACCACATCCTTGGTAGTACTGGTTTTAACTTTTTGTTCTCTATTCAGTGGCCTTGTTTGTCAATTTATTCAGTTTGTCAAGGTTCCTGTTTCTTAGTTAAAGAGTTAAGAGTGGTTTCATCATTATCAACCACAATTAAAAAACAAAACCAGCTTTTTTGATGAAGTGGCCCCCTCAGCCTCGGTGTGAAAAATAGCATTAAAAAAAACTTTTTTTACATTTTTTAACTTATCTTGATTGCTATACATTTGCATAACAACAATAAACAAGAAAATTCATTTTCTTTAATTAATCTACAGAGAAAACCTATTTTTCTAGTTTAAACTTGCAATTAAATGCTTGCCATATTTTGATACATGTATTGTTATTTGGAAAGTGTTTCATTATTAAATGATCTTCTGTCACAAAATAAATATATGAGTTATAAAAAAATATCAGGCACTATTAAGTTATGGGGGGCTATTTTGAAATTAGGTAGGTGGGAGCAAAGAAGAGAGCAATGTAGACAAGACATGACCTATGTAAATCCTTTAAATGGTATAAAGGCTGTATAATATTTATTTTTTGTGTTCCTGCTGAAAAATATGTGCTTCTTATGTAACTTTTTGGATTCAGACTGGCATAGAATCTTTTATTCACTCTTCCTTACTTCACTATGAAGTCAAGCCTCAATCTTCATGTTTTTACTCCCATTGTGCTGTTGTGATTTCCAATCGTAACCATTATTTCCATATCTATTACCAAAACAGTTATCCAAAAAACAGGCATCTGTTTACTATTGCTAGAAACCATTATATAAAGGTTTTGTTTAGTCAAAGTCTGCTATTCTCAGGTCACAAAATCTCGTATTTTATCTCAAAAATTAGGCTTCAAAGATTTCTAGAGATTCTTTAACAGTGTCTACAATAAGGAGAAATTTTTTATTTTTCTTCTCTTACATAGTTCAGATTATGTTATCTAGCCTAAAGACAAAGCTAAATTGTTCGCTAAGAACTTTTCATCAATCATCTATTAATTTCACCAATCGCATCCTACCTGATATATCCAACAAACAGGTTGATTCATCGTATGACATTGGTATCACTACAGCTTCTGTATATAAAAGCTGTAAAGTGATTTCCTGCTCAGAATATTCTACAGCTTGTGGTCCAGACAACATACCTGTTATAGTCTTGCAGAAGTGTTTTCCGATACTGTCATCCATACTTTCAAAACTATTTAACAAGTGTTTATCATAGTGTTGTTTTTCAGGTTTTTGAGTCTTTAACAAACACTTAATTTCTTATCTTGAAACTTTCTGATCATCAATTAAGTGTCGATCTTTTCATTTTACTGCTGACTTGTTAACAACAATAATAACGGACAAAATAGATGGATAGCACTCTTCTTCATACCCGATATACATAATAACGATAATAAGTTTTATTGTTAGGTTTTATTGTGAATTAGATGTGGAGAGGTTAAAGCTATCACTCCTGACATTTCCAAAGCCTTTGACAAAGTTTAAAATTCTGGTCTTCTCCATAAGCTCTTTTCTTGTGGTGTATTAGGTAATATCTTTAAGATTATTGTATCCTTTCTTATTGTGGTATAAAATTTGTCCTCTGCAACTTAAGGGGTTCCTTAAGGTTCTATCTTTGGCCCTATACTTTTTTAATTTACATCAACAATCTCCCAGAAATTCGAAGTAGTCATTGTTAGTAAATAATACTACCATTTATTCTTGTCTTAATAAGAAGCCAAGGCTCTCTAATTGCTTTGAGGGGGCATTTGAGCTTGAAAAAAATTACACTTTTACTACAGCATGGAACTCTCAGTCCACTGGTTAACTTTAACTCAGATAAAACTCATTTTTTTCCCGCTAATTGTTATCACAACAATCTAGATCTTCCTATATTTACGAATATGTACTCGACGAGTCAACTACCCTTCATCTTCTAGGATTAACTCTTATTTCTGATCATTCTTAGAAACCTTTGATCTTTCTTGGAAACCATATATCAAATCCATTGCAATATTAGCATCTAGTAAGGTTGCATCTTCCCCACTTCTCCAGATTCTATTCTTTTTCTCTATCTCAAATCCGTCTTTGTACAAAATAATGTTGCTGTATCTAGAGCAAATCTTTGAATGATGCGCTTTCTGTCTTTCATCTTTTAATCTTTTAATCTTTCTTTATAGTCATAAATCTTTCTTTATCTTACTTCATCTTTTCTCTTCCACTAACATCCAACTAATAGTGGTTGCTTGCAGTCTTGTTAGAAGTGAAGATGTTTAAGATGTTTGACGATTTTTTTTTGACGAAAGCCCCTGTATCTAAATGATAAATTATTTAAAAATGTTTACAGTAGAATATGTATATATTGATTAATTCCTATTTAAGAGTGATATTTAAGAATACAATTAAAATAACTGGCTCAGAGCCAATTGTTCCAAGGATTTTTTTTGACGAAAGCCCCTGTATCTAATTGATAAATTATTTAAAAATGTTTACAGTAGAATATGTATATATTGATTGATTCCTATTTAAGAGTGATATTTAAGAATACAATTAAAATAACTGGCTCAGAGCCAATGGTTCCAAGGTTTGATGCCAGCTCTGGCCAGATAAATGACATTAGTAAAGAAGGAGGCGTGAATTTTCTGGAATCTGGAAGCTCTTGCCTTATCTGGAAATCTGAAAATCATGAATTGAAGTTCATTGCTTATAGGAAATGTAAATTATATTAAGTAAAAGTATATTTTTAAAGCATTTTATACTAAATAAGTTAAAATATATTTTAATTTATGCAGAAAAATATTGTTTATATTAAAAATACTTAACAAATATAATTATTAAGGGATTTATAAATATGTGTTTTTCATTGACATATTTACCATTATATATATATATATATATATATATATATATATATATATATATATATATATATATATATATATATATATATATATATATATATATATATATATATATATATATATATATTTTTTTTTAATTCACCTCCTCAAGGCCGAGAAGGCCACTACAGACAAGGAGGCTACTTATTTGTGGTTATAACCCTCTCTATAACTCCGAAACACGAACCTTGACAAACAAGGCCGCTGCGCGGAGAAAAAAGTTGAGCGCGGTACTACCAGGGACGTGGTGGGGATCAAACTTGGAACCACTCGTTTATGAAGCGAGCGCTCTACCACTTCACCACTACCGCATAATATATATATATATATATTGTATATTATATTTATCATAGGACAAGCAACATCTATTCATAGCTGGTATGTCAGACAACAAAATGATTACTGTATGTAAAAATTATTTTGGTTTCTTTACTAGTATATATTTGCTACTCTCTTACTTTATTACTTGTATTTTCTCTACTTCTTCATGCTTTAATTTTTAAATGTTTGTATGCTTTAGTGGGACACAAGAGAAAATGAAATTGTTCAAGAATATGACAGGTGAATAATCAAATTTTTATTACAGTTATTTTAATTGTATTCTTTTATTATGTGTGTAAATGAAGTTGTCACATATCATAAATTACTTTTGTTGTGTAAATGAAGTTGTCACATAACATAAATTAATTTTATTGTTGCATAAATGAAGTTGTCACATAACATAAATTACTTTTATTGTTGCGTAAATAAAGTTGTCACATAATTTACTTTAAAAAAATGTCAATTATTGCTGTTTTTTAAGCAAAAATGATATGTATGTGAATATATAAATTATTTAACCCTCCGTTGGGCGCAACTGATCTAACAGGCACATGCTTCATTTATTTGTAAATTTCTCCACAATGGAGCACGTTTAACTTTCTAGTAATTTCCTGTTTTTATAAGACTTCCAAAACTCTATTACTAAATTACTTTTCAGATAACAAAAAGAGTATTAATTGACCTGTGTGTTCTGATAGGCTCATTGCGTCCGATTAAGTCATTTTATTTAAGTAGGTATTTTAAATTTTTTTTTTTAGAATTGTTTAATTTGCTCATTTTAGACTAGTAATATTAAACTAACTCTGCGTATTTGATAAAAATAAATAGTAAATCTTCGCCATTAAATTTTTCTTTAAAAAAAATTATGTCATAATTTATTTTTTAAAGAAAAATTTAATGGCGTCTCAAAGTGATATCGACTCTGAAGATGAAGTTGAGCAATGCATTCTTAACTCAAAAACTGAGCAATCTGAAAACGAAATAGAAGATGAAAAAGAAAAAGGAAACTCTTTTATGGGCAAAGATAAAAAACAGAGTGGCTAAATAAACCACTAAAAAAAAGTCAACGTCGAAAGTCACACAACATTTGCATTCATCTTGCAAAAAATGCAAAAACTTTATACGAATGTTGGAATAACTTCTTTACGGACAATATAATTAAACTGATTGTCACATACACAAATATTTATATTGACTCTGTAAAAAATAGGTTTGTGCGACAGAGAGATATTAAATCCACTGACATAATTGAGGTAAAAGCATTCATCGGGCTATTGTATTTAGCAGGAGTATATAAAGCAAATCATATGAGTTTGGAAGATCTTTGGGGAAAAGAAGGTGATGGAATTGAAAAATTCAGTCTTGTTATGAGTCTCAAACGGTTTAATACACTTATTTGTTGTCTTCGTTTTGATAATCGAAGAACTCGAAACCAATGAAAAGAAAATGACCGCCTTGCTCCAGTTCGAATAATTTTTGAAAAATTTGTTGATAACTGTCAGAAAAGTTTTAGTCCAGGGGAAAATCTTACTATTGATGAAATGCTTCTGGGATTTCGTGGTAGATGTCAGTTTCTGCAATACATACCCTCAAAACCAAACAAATACGGTATAAAACTTTATAGTCTAGTTGATGCAAGAATGTTTTATACTGTCAAAATGGAAATTTATGCTGGGCAACAACCACAAGGCCCTTTTTGTTTTAGCAACAAACCAAGTGATGTGGTGATGAGAATGGCTGAACCTTTATTTGGATGTAGTTAAGATATAACAGCAGATAATTGGTTTACTAGCTTCGATCTCATAGATAAATTAAAAACTAAGAAGCTTTCATATGTCGGCACTGTCAGAAAAAACAAAAAACAGCTGCCAATTGCATTTATAAATGTCAAAGGTAGAAAAGCAAAAACAAGCTTGTTTGGCTTTAATAATGATAAAGTTTTGGTCTCCTACATCCCGCGCGAAAGAAAGGACGTCATTTTAGTTTCAAGTTTGCACGATGATGATGCCATTGACCCTCAATTTGGAGAGCAAATGAAACTGGAAATAATTACTTTTTACAATCTTACTAAGTGTGGAGTAGATGTAGCAGATCAGATGTGCGTTTATTATAACGTGAGCCGAAACACCAGACGGTGGCCTATGGTAATTTTCTATACAATACTTAATGTTGCAGGCATCAATTCACAAGTAATTTACATTGGGAATAACCTTGAATAACTTCTAAAAGATGATAAAGTACACGTAGATGTGTCACGTGTACTTTAGAAACGGAAGAAGGTTGTCTTTATACGAATGTCGAAAATGCAACCAATCTCTTTGCATGAGTCATCAGGTTTTAGTCTGTCAACCATGCTTTTCTTTGTGCGAATGCTTTAATTTAAGTCAACATGAAATATCTAAATTAGAATAAATATGATTTAAGTAACATTATTGTGACTTACAAATAGATTATTTTGAAAAGTGTTGATGTTTAGAATTAATAATGTATACGGCTATTTTGAAACTAGATTGTTTTTTGTTTTTTTTTACTTGAATTGTAATACTACTTAGTATTTGATGATTAGGCAGACTTTTTTTTATAAAACATTTAAAATTCTATTTATAAACATCCCTCTAAAGGTTAGTAATTACTTTTAGATGGTTTATTATATTATGGGTTGTTAAAAACAACACTTTAAAACTCTGTGTCTAATACACACATTAGGCCGGGTGAATAAAAAAGTTTTGCTCAAATTTTTATTCACATAAAGTTAAGCAATTTACTTAGTAATTGTTTGGCATTACGTAAGTAAAAAATTAAAGAAAATTCGTTTAGCTTTTATTTACGTAAAGCTGACCGATTACTGAGTAAAAGCAATTGCTCGTTTTTATTCACCCGGCCTATTGTGCCCGATTTTACGCATTTTAATATTGCGCCCGATGGAGGGTTAAAATATGTTACATATATATATATATATATATATATATATATATATATATATATATATATATATATATATATTATACAAAATACTATATAGGGTAGATTAGGGTAATATGAGCATATTAAAGAATTTCTAAGATGTAAGCAGTGAAGTTAAAGCTGCTTTGTGTTTTTTGAATCAACTTGATGTGGTGATAACTGGAATCAGTATAATTAGCCTAAATTTATATGCAGTGGCTCTCATCTAAATAAAACGTAATTAAATTTTATGTGTTGTTAGAATTATTATTACGCATGAATAAATCTGTGGTGCAAAATTTTGATGCTAAAATCATTAAATTTAATTTTTCATAAAGAAAATTATGTTTGCTAAAAATCCATTCCATTTTTGTTTGAAAAACAATGCATAGAAACATTTAGTTTTGACTTTATTTAAAGATACCATTTTTGTGTAAATAAGTTTTTTTTTTTGGCATAAAACAAAGTAGTATTGTTTATTGTTAAAGTGGCTTAAAATTTGATCTTTTAATGATTATTTTTGAATATAACAATAAGTTCATTATGTTTCACAAATTAATTCCAATTATCAGCTTGGTATTTTTTTACTTAATGTCATTTTTTTGAATTAAGTTAAAGTGCTCATATTACCAAATGTTCTGGGTAATATGAGCACTTATGCTATTTTTTAAAAAACCTCTGTGTTTTAAAGAAAAAAATTCTAAGTGGATCTTAAGTAGTAATTGTAAAATTTATTTATTTGCAAAAATTTTGAATCCAGCATAATTGTTTTCAAAAGTATTTTTTTGCATAATTGTTTTCAAAAGTATATTTTTAAAAAAAATATACTTTTGAAAACAATTATGTAAAGTAGCTCATGATACCCTAATCAACCCTAAGATACAATTTAATATAGTTATACAAGGTTTTAATAACAATAATGTGTGTATATAGGGTAAAGTAGGGTAATTTCGGCGTATTAAGCTATTTTGCTGTTTATAGACAACGGTTGCTTTAATAATGTTAAAAAATCATGCATATCGATACACTGCAAATATATCTATTAAATAATAGTTAAAAAATTGTTTCTAACTTACAAAGTTTTACATAAAACCTGTTTTACAAAATACTCAAAAATGACGAAATTAGCGACCTAGTATGGTATTTTCGGCACTATGGTACGGTAAATTCGGCATAGTTATGAAAATTAAGAAGTTTGTTGAAAACGCATTAATATATTTAAAATATTATAAACAGCTATAAATCTGGATTGTATAAAGAATTGTCTCTTAAATTAGAATTTGTTACACCTAATTGGCACTTAATTAAGGGCGTTTCAGTTGCAAAAAATAATAATTTTTGAACCACCTATTTATTTTATTAAAGTATGAATGTCATGTATTTTTAAAGTATGAATGTCACCTTTTTTATTAAGGTATGAATGTCACCCAAAACAGAAACCTTATTAAATATAAATGTGCTTCCAAAGTATAATTGTTAATGAACCGATTACTAATTTCTACGATTTCGATGATTATTTTTAAATTCTGTTTAAATAAGAATTTATGTTTAAAAGCTCATAAGTAGTTCATAAAATAATATTTTACATAACTTCAATAGTTAAACTTAAAAAAAATAAAAAACAAAACTCAAAGGAAACTTTTTTAACAAGAGATTTATTTAAGAAAGTTAAAACACATTTTATCAATATATGACATATAACTTTTTTTTTAAGAATCAGTGCTTTATACAGTCATCACAAGTAAATACTTTTTTAGTATAAACACCACATATAGCAGCACATGTTTCATGCCACCATCTACAACATTTAAGGCATTTATCCCAATTATCTTTTAAATAAGGATCGACAGGATCACCATAACTGTATTGACACTTTGCACAAAGTTGTTTATTAATCGCACCTTTAGCATCAAGGTTTTTCAAACACGTCTTTTGATGAATAGATATACTTTTTTTTATGCACTTTTTACGTGGCTGTCTGTTCTTATATTTCAAGTTTAAAGATTCCTCTAGCTGAGATTTATATGGTGATCCAGTAATTTTTTCAGCATGATTTACCCTCCTTTTTATACCTGTTCGCTTTGCATTTTTAATGTCAAGTCCAGCTAGTGATCCAAATGTAACACCATAAGGTTGTGAGGTTTCATCGTGTGAGGTGGCTAATTCTGATGACTTCTGAAGTGCAAATGATGAATTTGGTGAAATAGATTCTAAATAAAAATTATTTAACTAAAGAGGGTGAATAAAAATAGGCAACATGCAAATTATAAAAAATAGTTAAAATGTTTTTAAAAAATTTGAACTTTCTTTAAGAAACCTTTTTTTAGGTTAATAAAACAACAGATAAGTTAATATTTTGCTTGATTTTAAAAAAGTCATATTTGTATTTTAAATAAAATGCGGAAGATGTTAAAAATAATACAACATTTATGACGATTTACCTTTTTGAGTGTCAATAACACAATCTGTAACAAAATCAATATTATCTAATTCTTTAGCAGAGTCTAACCCATTGTTGAGAGTAGGGTGCATTTCAGAGGTATTATTTGGTTTTGAAATTTTTGATACAACATACGAGTGATCAGTAGCTTTGGCTGCAGCAAAGTCTTCTTCAGTAAACACATTTCTATCAAATGGATATATTCCACATTTTTTGAACCCTGACTGACAATTTTGAACAGTTGCAGCTTTCCCATAGGCTTTTCCAAATAATTCACCAACCTCTAGTTCAGTTACGGGACGACCAGGATGGTGACGAAGCCAAGTACTAACCTCCTGATCATAGAATATTTTGAGGCTTTTAAAAAACGAAACATCAAGTGGTTGCAGTTTGTGGGTACAGTGGGATGGAAGTGATAAAATAATAACATTTGAGTGGCGCGCTTTTTTAATAACACTAAGATTTTTTTTATGACTTGAATGTCCATCTAAAATTAGAAGAACTGGTTGGTTTTTTGACTGAGGCTGGACTGCTTGTAAAAAATGATCAAACCATATTTCAAACAACTCAGTTGTTATCCAGCCATTTTTGCTGCCACCAGAAATAGAACCTATTGGGGCTTTATCTAAAAATTCAGGTTTCACTCGAATACGTGGATAGATCAACATCGGAGGGACAAAAAACCCGCTTGCTGATTGGCAACAAACTATTGTGATTGTTTTACCTCTTTCGGAGCTTGTTAAGCCACCAACACTGTGTTTTCCCTTAAGAGCAACAATTTTTCCTGGTTTATGGCAAATAGACAATCCAGATTCATCTACGTTGAATAAGTTTGATGGTGGAATAATCTGCATCCCATTAGCATTAAACATTATTTTTTCTAGTTCATCGTAAAAACGATTAACTTTTACTCTATTAAAACCAATGGCTCGATGCAATGACGTTGACTCAACAACTCTGACAGAGAGTTCATTATGGCGTTTCAAAAAACCCCTAAACCATTCTTTTCCTGCTGACTTAGTTTCACAATTAAATTTGTGAATAATTCTATTTTCTTCACAAAACTGAAATACCATTTGTTTTACATCTCTTGGAGACAAACCAAACAATCTCTGAGACATGGTCAGAAGAACTTCTACGAGCTCTTTTTCTTGAAAAGCTGAGAGTGTTGTTGGCTGTCCTGCACGTAACTTTTTAACAAAATTATCAACAGGTGCTCGTTTTATATAGTCATGTAGTGTTTGTCTTGGTATTTTATATTGTTTAGCAGCAGAATATTTTGAGCAACCATCAACTAAAACTGCATTTACTGCCATTTTTAATGATTCTTGTGACCAATTACCATATTTTACACGTTTTGAACTCATTATATGATGCTGTAAAATAATGTTTACATATATATATATATATATATATATATATATATATATATATATATATATATATATATATATATATATATATATATATATATATATATATATATATATATATATATATATATATATATATATATATATATATATATATATATATATATATATATATATATATATATATATATATATATATATATATATATTTATATAAATGTATATATTATTATTATTATTATTATTATTATTATTATATGTATATTATTCAGTATTATTCAACAGTATGTATATAATTAATAAATGATTTGTTATATACAATAATAATTGATGTATATAACAAATTATAAATTTTTATATACATATTGTTATGTATGACATAAATTTAAAATATATTGTGGGGAACTATTATTTTGATAAGTTTCACAGTGACACTAAATAAATTTACTTTTTTACTAGCTCGTTATTAGTTTACTATTATCTGAGTTACTAAAATCAATTTCTTCTATACATAATATTTAAAACGTTTATTTCCATTTTAGTTTTGGAGAAACAACAAGTCGGCAAATTCGGCACTGCCGAAATTAAGAACTATTTATAAGCCGAAATTATCTCCTTAAAGCAGTCCTAGGGGAAATTCTTATATCTTGTAAAATACTTTGAGTTTAATTTTATTGTTGCTCACATTTTGTTCAGTATATATTTTTGAATGAAATAAATACAAATTTTTGGTAGAAATTTTCGGAAAAAATCATTTATCCTCTATTTTCAAAAAGGAAAAAATGTTAAGAAAAACCTAATAATCATAAAATAACGTACCTATAATGTAAAAATAGAAGTTTAAACTAATATTTTTAGAAAAACTGTTTATCTTTCTATAATACTCAATTATAGTTTTGATATTTCATTAAATAAATATTTTTAGGTGTCTTTTGAAGTGGTGCCGAAATTATCTCCCTGCCGAAATTACCCTACTTTACCCTATATACATCTCTCTCTCTCTCTCTCTCTCTCTCTCTCTATATATATATATATATATATATATATATTTATATATATATATATATATATATATATATATATATATATATATATATATATATATATATTAAAAAGTATATATATATATATCAAAATTAAAAAAAAAATTAAAAAAATGATGAATTTTTTTGCCGACCTCAAATAATTTAAGGTCGGCATTACCAGATGCAAACCCTTGGCTAAGTCCTAGGGTCCCGTGATCATAGGGGCTCCAATATGTCGAAAAATTTTAAAATTTTTCTGAAATTGTTGTAAAAATTAACTAAAAATGGAAATAAAAGTATACTAATTATTTTTATATCATGCGTTGTATAACTATACAAAGCATGATATATTTTACTTAATATAATTAGTATACTTTTATTTCCATTTTTAGTTAATTTTTACAACAATTTCAGAAAAATTTTAAAATTTTTCGACATATTGTCTTTTTCATACATTCTCAGTCCCAATATAAAATGTCATAAAAACAGAAAATTTTAGTTATAAAAAGGGCCCCAAAACATAACCCGTCCTAGTGTAAATCTAGCACTGGCTGTATATATAAAAATATATATATATATATATATATATATATATATATATATATATATATATATATATATATATATATATATATATATATATATATATATATATATATATATATATAAATATGTTTGATTTTTGCGTGTTTTTAATCTGCTTTTTGAATAGTTAAATTATATTTTTCATAAAGACATCTTGGTTCAGTCAATACAATTACCTTTGTGGACAAAAATCAGAGAATTGTAACTACATCTGATGATAAAAGCTTGCGCATATGGGAGTGGTATGCTTTTATATTTTAGAAATCTTTCAATTTTTAGAATATTTTTTTCTCTACTTATTGCTTGTTCTCTACTTATTGCTTGTGATTGTTGTGATATTTATCTCTATCATATTTGTATTATTTATATTTACAATATTTGTATTGTTAAGTTCCTTGACTTATATATGTCACTTTTTTTTGAATTTTTCAGGGATATACCTGTTGATGCAAAGCTTATTCAAGAACCATCAATGCATTCAATGCCTGCTGCTACTTTATCACCAAACGGTATTTCTAATAAGTTCAAGAACTTGACTTCTTTTTAGTAGTTTTGCAATAAATTTCATTGGTCAATTATTTTTAACAAATTCAGGAAAATGGCTTGCCACTCAGTCAATGGATAATCAAATTTTAATATATAGTGTACTTGGTCGCTTTCGACAAAACCGTAAAAAAATTTTTAAAGGTCATATGGTAAGTCAAAATATTTTTTTTCTTTGAATTAGTTTCTTTAATTTTCAGCATTTTTACAAATATTTACTGTCAAGCCTTCCCAGGAAAGGCGTGCGGTTTTTTGTCTCGTATGACCACACGCGATTATAATATTTTAGAAAACGTGAACACAGCCGTTTGCAAGTTTTATAATAATGCTGAAAAAGTTTCAAAAACAAAAAAACAAAACTAACAAAATAAAAAGAGCTTGAAATAAAAAAAAATAAAAACAAATTAATAATTTAAATAATTTGTGTACTGTTTATATTTTGTTTCTTTAGAGTTACATTCAGCAACAAAATTAGATAAGGCGAAGCAAAAAAAAAACAGTTTGAAGTCAGCAATAAAAAGAATGATTTTCCTTTTCTTAATTTTTTTTTAAGAGGATAGTAAAAATAAAAATTGCAGTGTGTTTGTAAAATTTATTTTTATAATTTTAATGTAACAAAAAGGATTGAATTAAGCGAATGCAAAACACAAAGTCTGGAAAAAGATCTAGCATTAAAAATTTTAGTTTATACAAAACCGTGCTCCTTGTTTTTAAGGGGAAAATCAACTTAAATTTGTTAGCGAAAAAATAAAAAATAAAACAATAAACTTACGATTACAAAAGTAAGAACATTCTAGTCACTAACTGCATTACAAAAGTAATAACACTATAATAGTGTTATTACTTTTATAATGCACTTATAACTTTTAAAATCCATTTTTTGTTCAAGCAACATTTGTATTCCCAAATTTTTATTGAAGTAGAAAAATATCTAGAAGAACAAACTGGATGTTCAAATAATATTAAAACTAAAGTAACTTATAAAAACGTGGCAAACAACTTTATGAAAACGTATCGTAGTAAAAGTTTAGCATTATGAAAAACGTTACTAATGGACCATAAAAATGCGCGTTAATTTTAAAATTAACCAATAAAAATTTTTTCTTGGTTGATTTTAAAATTAACGCGCGTTTTTATGTAACCTTTTTCATAATGCTATACTTTTTATAAAGTAACGTTGTTTAAGCGATATGTGAAAGTTCCTGAAATTTTTAATAATATTTAAATATCCGCTTTATTTTTTCTAGATGGTTTTCTAATAAATGTTTGGAATTAATAATGTTGTTTGAACAAAGAATGAACTTAAAAAGTAATAAGTGCTTTATAAATGTAATAACACTATTATAGTGACTAAAGTGTTAATACTTTTGTAGTCATAAGTTTATTGTTTTTGTTTTGTTTTTTGTAACTTTCTGGCTAGCAAACTTTTAATAATTTGCTTCTTGTAAACAAAGTACACAGTTTTGCATGAACTAAAATTTTAAAGACCTAATATTTTACCAGATTTTGCAAACGCAATCATATAATTTAACTCTTGATATAAACTTGTTACATTATAATTATACAAATATATTTTACAAACAGATGGCGATAAATTTTTTCTCTTTCCTCTTTAAACGAAAAAACACATAAAATATGGGAGAGTCATCCTTTTTAACGCCTAAAACCATTTTTTTTTTTTTTTTTTTTTTTTTGCTTTGACTTAATGAAATTTGTTGCCGATAATAATAACCACTAAGAAAAAACAAAAATAAAAACAACAAATAAATTGTTTAATCTATTTTTATTGTTTTCTATTTAAGTTTACTTTAATTTCTTGTGTAGTTATTAAATTTAAAACAATTTTTCAGTAACGCATATAATATAACTTGCGCAAATAGTCGTGATTATGTTCTCTAACTTGAAAAACGTTTTTGTGGTCGTACGAGAAAAAAAAACCGCACGCCTTTCCTGGGAAGGCTTGTACTGCTGTCTTTTTTTTTTAACAGGAGGTGCCATGAGAAAGGAAAATGGGTTTAATTTACCCATGGTACTTCTTTACTATTATCTAATCATTCAAAAATTGAATATTGGTCCAAATTTCAATCTTAAGACAAATATTTGTAATTTTTTGCAAAAATTAATAAGCACATGTTGCGTACACCATCAATTAGGTGACAAACAAACAAACAAAAAATTAATTAGGACCATGTAGAATGCACATGCTTTCCACAACAAAACAAGTTTATAAAATATTTCAAATCATTCCAGCAGAAAAAAACAAAAAATGTCATTCCATGTTTTGGGTTTTGCTAAATTTTATACATTTAAATACTTTTAAAAAAACTGTAAATTTGAAGATTCAACTTCTGAGGGTTCTGGTATCAGATAGTAATTTGAAATTCAACACTTATCAAACAATCAAGTTCCTTCTCTTGAAGTAAGAATTTGACCAGATTAACATGGGCTGTTAGTATTATTAAGCTTAACATCAGTTTCAAGCTTTTCATCAAGTATCAATGCTTTTTACACTAATGTATTTCTTTCCACATTTATTGCTTTAACGTTCGATCTTTATTAGGCTGAATATGATAATAGAACTGATTATAATAATAGAACTGCCTTAAAACAGCATTACTTTACAAACTCTTGCTCCTTTTTCAGGTTAAATCTACTGTATAAATTCTTGTTTTAAATTTTATAAATTGCTCCAATATTTATCAGTAAACTTCGTGTTTATATTTATCAGTAAACTTCATGGGTCTCTATGTTTATCAGTTAACTTCATGGCACTCTATGTTTTGGATTTTACCAGGTTTTTCTTTATATATTTAGTGCTTATGAAAGTTAAAAAAAAAGTTTTATTTGAAGCTAAAAAATGCTACAAAAATAATCTCAAAGTTTATCAGTTTTATCTTCTAAATTCTGCAGCAAAAATTTGATGCTAAAAAATTAGCACATATGTATATATATATATATATATATATATATATATAATATATATATATATATATATATATATATATATATATATATATATATATATATATATATATATATATATATATATATATATATATGTATATATATAAAAGCAAGTTGGACAATATTTAGGGGTCAATAAAAATTTTAACTTTTTTATGTATACGGTCTATACAGTCAAAAGAGTAAAAATTTCATTTGATGTTTTCATATTTTAATATTTAAAATTTTACATGAAAAGTTGTTATAATATCAGGGCTCGAATTAACTAATCGTTATTAATAAGTTAATTTGGAGCAAAGTTTTTTTAAAAAATAGATAAAAATGTTTTGTTAAAAAAGTAGAATAAAGAAAAAATTCTTTTTAACTTTTGTCTTTTTAAATTTGCTTCTACGCAGAGATTTAGAGTAATTTAATTTAAAAAGTGCTTTACGTTGAATAAAAATCTCCGCGCAAAAGAGCAAGATCATGCATCGTGAATAGAAATTCAAGACAAACTTTGCTTGACGTACTTTACTATGAAAACATTACTTTAAAGTGTTGTCAAAAAAAAAGCTAAATTAGAAAAATAGTAAATAAACAACTAAAAAAGTAAACCAATCGCGAAAATATGTTTTAAGAAAAAACTAAACGCGAAAGTGTAAAAAGCAAACGCGTTAAGTTTTTTCTTAAAACATATTTTCGCGATTGGTTTACTTTTTTAGTTGTTTATTTACTATTTTTCTAATTTAGCTTTTTTTTTGAATTTCTATTCATGATGCGTGATCTTGCTCTTTTGCGCGGAGATTTTTATTCAACGTAAAGCACTTTTTAAATTAAATTACTTTAAATCTCTGCGTAGAAGCAAATTTAAAAAGACAAAAGTTAAAAAGAATTTTTTCTTTATTCTATTTTTTTAACAAAACATTTTTATCTATTTTTTAAAAAAAACTTTGCTCCAAATTAACTTATTAATAATGATTTAAATTATTATTTTATAAACAATTTTATATAATTATTTTTAATACTTTAAGTATAATAAAATATATATTAATTCGTTTTTATTAAATAAAATTTCTATTAGTAAAATTGTACTAATAGAAACCAGCGACTTTTTTAATTTCATGTTTTTCGTTTTTAACGACCTTGAAACTATTGAAGTTATATTTAGTTAACTTTACTGAATGGATAGAGTGTCACAGTAAATTAACTTATAACCTAAATCAAAACAACACTTAAGTTAAGATAGTATTTTACAGTTACTCAAGTATTAATTTAACAATTATATTAATTTATTTAATATACTCGCCATAGACATGTTTTAATTTAGATCTTACATGTTGTTAATACATATTATAAGCTTTTAACTAATAATTATTTTAACAAAAATTGTCGAAAAGAATATGAAAAACACGAAACAATTTTTTTATATTTTTATTTTATTTATAATAGCATCTAGACTAAACATTTTCTATAAATACGCAAGTTGTTTTCAGGAATTTTATTTAAAAAGAAATCTATTTGAACAAGAGAACTTTAGCTTTAAAATTCACTTATTCAAATAATTTTGTGATTAAAATTTGAAATTGAAAAAAAAATTGAAAAATTGAAAAAAAGTTTGATGAAACAAGGGAGAATGAAGAAGAAAGTTATTTTTTCGTAGATTGTAAATTTTTTTAACGTTTTAAATTATATATTTTTTCTTGAAAATAGTTTTAAAAGTAGAAACATTCTATTGCAAACATCAAAGCAGTGATTGCAAATTGCAAGTTAAAATAAAAATTATAAAAAAGTTAAATTAAATTTAATAAATTATTTTACTTCTGTTCAAAATTTTTTTTTCTAAAAAAATAATTTAAGCATATTCTTATACTTGATATAATTTGATTTATTAAACGAAGTTTTTTGTTTCACTTTTAGAAAACAATTAGAACAAAAAAAAAAATTGAATGAAAACATCAGCTTAAAAACCGTTTGAATGAAAAACTTAATTATACTTAAATTTTTAATAGTACGCTTGATCAGGAAACGATAATTTATAAAAGACGTGGTATCTAATGTTTTTCTGCTTCGTTTGGTCTATAGATTATAAATTTGTATAGGTCTATAGGTGCAAATATGAAGTTTTGTTTTAGTTTATTAACTAGATCAATTTTATTTATTTGCCTCATTTTATTTTAAACGTGTTTTATTTTATAAATCGTATAAATCA